ATATAAAATATAATATAAATATAAAATATAAATATAAAAAAAATATAAAATAATGATACCTGGACGCGTTTCATATAATTTAAATTTTCTAAATATTTATGACGACAAACATTTTACTTTATTAAAAACAAAAAATTCTTTCCATCTACGTTCTTACGTAAAGTACTAAACTAAAGTTCTCGCGAGTGAGAATTTAAATTGGTTGGTCCCAAAATTGTAGCAATTATATAAATTTTTAAATAATTATTAGGACTTTTTTTATTTTTGTCACAATCTCGATAAAATATGTCCTTTTCCTTTTCTGTTATGAAAATTTTTTTTAAGTAATTTTTTGTATCTTTGTCAACTATTGTATTCATATACTTTTCTACGATTTAATACAGTTACACTATATTTTTCTATGCTTTAATAACATAATTTTCCTTTACTAACATTTTATTATTTAAACTCAAATATTAATTCAGCTTTGCACCTATTTTTTTTACTCAAATTAAAAAGTAGGTAAATATATTTTATAAGCGCACGAAACATAAAGGAAGAAATGTCAATCACCGTGTTTAAAAATTTTTTTATTTTCATAATTAGAATAATAATTAAAAATACATTGTTATTAAATTGTTACTAAATTTGTTATTAAATTAATCACTAAACATTTTAGATAATAATATCGTTCGAAGATAACTGAATGGCTTGAAAAATTATAAACATAAAAGGTTGAGATCGCAGAGTGCTGTTCTTTAAAAAAAAAAAAGAGTAATATTTTTTGACTAACTTCTTTTTTTTCTCTCTTTCTTTCTCTCTTTTTGTAGCATATGTATTTTTCGAGTGAATAGATTTAAATAAAATTAGCTGTTTGTACAGAAAGGCGACTGTTAATTCTGAACTGCGTTGTCTCTTTTTCTCTCGCCTTCCAATTTGTTACCTTATCCTTATTACATCAATTTATATTCTTTACTATATTAAACAAATATCTCTTTCTTTAGTGAAAAGAAACTTGTCATAAGCGTGATATAATAAATTGTGAAACTGTTTAATATTTTTATATTTGTAATCTAGAGATCGTTTATAAATAATTAGGATGTATTGAAATTAGATATGTTAATTTATCGATTTATTAATGACACAATTTGCATTAAAAAATGCTTGAAGAAATAATTTTGCATTCTTTATTTTGATTACTTTTTATGAAATGTTAAGTTGTGCAGATTAAAAAATAAATTACATTATGAAGAGAATATATGTTAAAAACAATTGTATTATAAAAACGTCGGGATAATATCAATAGAAACGCTAAAATATGTAAAATTATATTGTGTGTATGTTTGGTCAAGAATTTTGAATTAAATTCATTCATATCGTTTCGGAAACGATTAAATTTATGATCTCATGTTTAATTAAAGACACACGATTGGAACTGTATTTACAAAGAACATGCATAATTAATGAGGTGCATATATAAAAACCGATGAGTAATCATCTAAAATTGACCAAGTACTACTTTTTTTTTTAACTTTTAGATTTTAATTAGGTGTCAAAAACGTGTATACACATTTTTTATTGTTTTAGGAATTATCCGAATTGTGTTTTAACAAAGAAAACGTTAAACAACTTATCTTTCCGATAAAGAAATTTGAATTTCAGCTTTCACACATTTCGTAAAATGTTTTAAAAGCAAAGAAAATAATAGGCACATTGTTGCTTACATCAATACGGATATACGCATTACACCATGTACTTGACACGTTAGTGATGATATATATATTCATCATATCCTTGAAATTTAATTACAATACTGATTATAATCTGCTAATAATAATGTTACGAGCAATTTAATTTCGTCACCTATTAAACTAATAATATCTTGCTTTATGATGGAAATTGCTGGTATAAAAATGTCAAAATTCTTACCAAAATTTAAATAACTGTTTGGAAAAGACATAGTTATATAAAAAAATTTACAATATTCTCTTCCTGCTCTTCATGATACATTAAGAAAATGTATTTGAAAACCATTAATTGATTTGATTCTTATAAACATTTATAAGTATTTATACCAGATATAGCGTTGCAAAATCACGTATGTAGATGTATAAAAGCTTTACACTTTATAGGAGATATATATATATATATATATATAAATTTTTTTTTTGTATATCGTATTACTTTTAGAAAATTTATCTGATAATCATGCAATGTCGTTTAAATGGCATGCAATATGATTACATTTTCGTTACTCGCGTTTATATTGTTTCTCAAAGTTACTTTTTACGTTGATATGGGTATCTCATTAATACATTAATATTCTATTTAAAAACAAGGAAAATATATTTTAATATTTCGTGAGCCGAATATCAGCATGAAACATTACAACAGTTTATCGTAATAATAGTAAAACGTGTCATGCAAGAAGAATACCTCACGCAACAAAGTATAATAATAGATTAGAGCTCTCATAAAAGCAGATCGTGTTTACAATACATTAGTAAAATAAATACCCTTGTTGTCTAATCTTTTATTAGAAATCTTCAAATAATGAATTGGACATCATTCATTTGATCCGTTATATTTTTGAGGACCTGTTTAAGATAGAATAAAAGATCCACGCATCTCATTCTATCTTAAGTATACATTCTAAAAAATATAACGGATCAATCAGAAGTCGTTTAAACGATGTTTAATCTCTTACTTGAGAGTCTCTAATCTTTTATTGAGAGGAGGAGGGAGAACCCGAATGAGCGAGTTCTACGAATAAGTGACAACAGAACAGTAACGTCTTCTGAACGTAAACTAAGTAAATTTGTTGTGCGTTTGTTCGTAGAATTAACGAGTTGCCGATGTCGTATTTGCAGGCGTACGAGCTGTCGACGCTGACCGGTACGCAAGTGATGTTACTGGTGGCGAGCGAGACCGGGCACGTGTACACGTTCGCGACGCGTAAACTGCAGCCAATGATCACGAGCGATGCCGGGAAGGCGCTGATCCAGACGTGTCTGAACAGTCCGGATCCACCGCCGTCGGGTTCGTCGGGCGACCAGAGGATGTCGGCGACCGGGTTCGAGGAGACCGAGCTGACGTACAACATCGCCGACGACGAGCAGAAAGTAAGGCAACTGGTGTACGGCTCGCCGCACGGTG